CAATTATGCTGAGTCAGGCTTGATTTTTAGTAATCTTTTCCTGTTAAATAAATAAATCAAATCAAACCAAATCAATCAAAAAAATACAATAAAGTACAAGAAGAGTCATTTGGCAATTCAGTGTCTTTTCTGCATAACTTAAAAACAATGATTGCAAAACAAATAGGTAACACTGTCAAGAAATAGTTAACAGGGAACTTTCTGAACACTTGGGGTTGCCCAAAGTCCAGTTTATACAAAAACTCCACAAGACAAGAGTAATGATTAGAAGGTCTTTCATTCTCAAAGCAGAGAAACTGTTCCAAACCCTTTTACACAGTRTTCATAATTGTAGACTGCATGCCGAGGTATGTTCATTTAATGTACCTTACCTTCAGCCTTAAAATGGTAGCACTTCCCCAGAAGAAACACYGGGGAATTTCTACTGAATGAAGTCTTGGATTTGAAAACCCAACCTAAAACACACAATAAATGGACAATACATCAAGGTTGGGTTGAGTGCTTTAAAATAGGCTTTAAATTATTGTGTTGGGTGGCACACCTACTTCACAACAAAGGTGGATCTGTCATTTTATCTGCCTTAAGCAGTGTTTTTTCCCTTCGCTTTTAATATATAACATAAACTTAGCTATACTTAAATGAAACAGAAACAGATAGAAAAGGTGCAATAATTTCCACCARCTAGTCTTGACAGTAAGACAGAAGACTATTTTCGGGACTGACTCAACCACAGCAGGCTTCTGTCTGGTAAAATTCAGGCACTACTCCTTTATTTTTGGTATTTAGTGTATCTAATCTTTGGGTTTTCTAAACCAGACCCACAAAACCAATGTTGACAACAATTTATTTCAGATTTTGCAAAGAAAATACTGTTTTGGWGTGTAGTGGACTATTTTTTGAAAAATGACTGCGCATGCGCGGTAGGGACTGTTACTGTGAATGTTTTTAACCTGAAGCGAGAAACTTACTGTACTTTAAATTGTTCCACACAGACTTGAACTTTGTCTTCAGTTTTTCCACCTCGTCGCTCCCTTTATTCTCCATTTGAACCAGCGAGGGAAAGAACCCATTCCCACACAGCAATACAAACCTGGACATGATGCAAACAAACAAAAACACACATACAGCTTGCCTGGTTGTACAATCAACTGAGAGTTTTGAAGGACTTCACGATTAGTCGATACCTTAACGCCTGTTCAGTCCAGTTGTCTTCTTGTCGCAGACACGTCGCCGGCTTGTGTTCACGTTTAAGCATAACATCGTGTGATGAATTTTCTTTGCAACTTGCTGTGTAACTTCACATTGCCCTGCGAGTGGCACAATGTTTATACTTTGAGGAAATGCACCCTGTAGTTAGTAGCCAGGTAATCTCGCGATATTTCCGACGAGAACCAAAATGAGCTAATGTTGACTCGCATTGTACGTCGGAGTAGCCCGTGCGGGCGGAGTTTAAGTGGTTTCCATTGACAAGAAACGCTCAGCATGTCCAGTGTTTCTTTAGTTCAGAACGTAAAAAACAACCAAAAGAAAAAAAAACTCAATTATTGTCTTTGCCTAAGTATAAATATCTGAGATGTTATCATTCATTTTAATAGTATCATCCATTTTCTCTCATTATATTCCATAAAATAATGAGATTGTACCAAACTAATTGTAACCTACCAGTCAAATGCGGTGTGTGTGTATGTGTTATTAAATGTATGTATTTGTTTGTTGTTCAGAGAGGCGCAGAAGYTTTCTGTTGGCTGGGTGTGTGCTGTTGCGCTGTATGACAGGCTTTACGGTAATGATACCATTCTCCCGTTTTCCCTATGGTTGTGAGTGGGTGAGCGTGTGTGTGTGTGTGTGTGGCTGGAGAGCGGAGTGCCTGCTGCCTGCCTGCCTGCCTGCCTGGGAATTCTATAAAAGCACATCCGCGGCCACTGCCATGGCTGAACGCCGCGCATTCGCCCAGAAGATCAGCAGGTAAAGCCTCGAGACGWGTGAAACGAGCTTGGGTGAATGAAACGCTTCTGAACGGACATTCGCTTGTGGCTCGCTCCGAGACCACCGCTGCGGGAAACCCTGTGAAGGAGGCCCAGTCTGGCTCCTCTCTCTCTCTCTCTCTCTGCTAACCGCTCGTTAGCTGTAGGCAGAGATGCTCAGTCAGACCCACCCAGACAGACAGCTGCTGCTACTTTCCTATTCCACTGACAGCAAACAAAAGCCCGCTCCTTGTTTTCACGTTTAGTGGCATGAAAACTGTTTACTGTACTGTTCCAAACTCWTAAGCTGTCGTAAAACATTTAAAAGCGTAAATTATGGACAGCTAGCTGTCTGGGTCACATAAGCTAACGACGGAAGCCCACAAACACTGATGCGATTGAACTTTTTGTTTATGCTGGTTTCAACAAAGGACCTGACTGAGGAGAAACTATTTCACCTAATAGAAAAACACCATCTTTAGTCAAATCAAAGACTGATATCATAATCTTCTCTCCTCTCAGACAGATCTAAGTAATCTCCTTAACAAAGGGCTTTGCCAAGCTGTCAAATGGCACCATCCCCAGTTACATTTCATAAAACCTCCAGACCCTTTAAATCTTATCTTGTTTTGATGATCTTATTTCTACGTTTTAAAATTACCAGTCTAATACTATGAAGTGTCAGTTATTTGTATTTTATTACATTTTGATGTAAAAGTTGTTGATGTCAGGACAATGGGATGTTTTATGCATTGTTGTTATTTTGTTTCTCTAAATCAGGTAATTCAGAAATGGTCACAAAATAGGTTAATTGTAGTGCAATATAATATTAACACAACTATAGACAGATATAGATTAAAACAGGTTCTCAAACTGGGGTACAC